TTGTTCATCTGAACTGACAATGGACAAACAGGGAACAGAACTAAGGATCTGTTTGAACTTGTAAAAATGCATCCTTTTGCAGATGTCCTCAGTTCCTTCTGTCTTGAGTACTCTACTTTTTACAGACGTTGTGAGATATTAGCCTTGCTGTGGAAAAATATGCATAAACGATGACTAGATAATTATTCCCTAGAGCTTAGTGGCACTAGGGTCAGCCACCTGACAATGGTTTTAGTTTTGTTCTTATTGAAGTGAATAATAACATTCATGACTTTATACATCAAAAAGTGTGAAGTCTCTCCAATTTGCTTACATTTAGAGTAACCTCAGCTTCTTGAAAAATTCATCATGTATGGAAGACTGTTATGGCTCTTGATGGTAGGTCCACGGATAGCAGCAAAACCACAAGTCAGTCCCTCCAGTATTTCTAACAGCTGGCTCACTCCCTTTGGAGATCTCTGAGGTGCAGTAGAAATTCCGAGAGGTAGATGTGGGACTGATGTCTAGACTCTAGATCTGTAGTCTCTAGGCTTCATCCTAATACAGTCATCTAGAAGTGGTAGATGTCTACTTATACAGTAGGTGTAGACATCTGTCTTGTAGACATCTATATTTGTGAGCCGAACCTTATCTTCCATTTATGAATTTTTATCTCTAAAATAGATTAACTAATATAGTGAAGCTACCATTCCTGAGAGAATAACATCTAAAAAAGCCCAAGTCTTCATTGTTTACAGATGATTTGGCATCTTGGAGCTGGCCAAATGTATGCTTGGCTGATGAAATGAAAAAGCATGTTTCTCATTTCTTTATTTGCACTGTTGACGATTCATCACAGATGTATACACATTTCTGGAAAATCCAACCTGCAATGGTCACAGCTGTTCATCAGTCAGAAGGGTCATCAACACACTCAATTAATCACTTGTGCACCATGTCTTTGAGCTGTTTCCTGGAAACTTTCACCAAAGGAACTGGAACTTGCTGAAACGCACAGGGTGAGAGTCTTTCTTGAGCTTGATTATGTGGGAGTGTTTCAGTTTACATAGCCCATTGAATAACCTTGAGAATTGTTGGGTAGTTTTTGCCTTTGCAGCTTGAGCTTTTATCTGACTCAGCCGCAGGCCTAAATCTTTGTTTGCCTTGGAACAGCAGTCATTCAAAATCACTCACTGTATAAAAATCTTTTCATGAAGATGCAGTCTTTTACCAGTGATGTTCACTCAGCATTTTAATGGGATACGGGGGCCTCTTAAATGCAGACAGTTTTCTATCGTCAGCGTGAGGCTTCAGACAAGACAAAGCAATGTAACCTCTCAGGAAAGAATGTGCTCCCAGCTCCTGGGCTGTCTTGGGGTAGACAGAGATGCTGTGGAGTGTAATGTTCATATCCAGCAGCTTGATTGAGCTCCAAATGCTAAAACATGTCCTAGAAAGGCATTCGCAATATTATTAACAGCCATTAGCTCACAGATGCTAGATTTACGCGAGGACATAATAACCCTTAGGAATTCTGAAACATCTGGCAAATGGGATCAGGAATGTAATTTTGGCTGGTTTTGACTCATCCACTGAGATGTGGTTCCTCTGAGTCTGCTTGTGAGGTTCGCTGTGGGTCTGGGACAGTGATAGCTACCTCTTAGTGCCCAGCTCCGGGCTCTGAGTGGTGGCATTAGATCTCCAGGACCTCAGATATCTTTTCTTGCATCTCAGTGCACCCAGTTTGCCTCACTGCTTTAATTGTTTCATAGCATCACAGCGATGCCAAGTCACTGTCAGGCAGTTGCTTCCATGTTCCAAGGGATGAAATCCAAAATTGTTTAATTTTGAAACCTGCAGGTGAAATCACTGTATTGTGATCATGTTAAAAGGGTGACAATAACATCTTACATAGATTCACCCTTCTTTTTTGAATAGCATTTGTATCTGACCCCTAAATTAGATTTTGGATGGAGAAGTTAACCAAAGTTAGAATATTAGTTTTCTATGAGCTTGTTTATTTAACAATTAGGATAAAGTACAGCATCGGTGTCTTCAGCCTGTGGACAAGATCAGGTAAGATGAAGCAGATGGTGCCTTTTCTTCGTTTTTTCCCCATATCTGATGCAGGTCTAAATCACTAGGATTTTGTTTACCACTTGGCCAAAAAAAAAGTATCAGTCTTGCAAGGGAAAAGCTCTGGAGTTGTATTATCGCTGGGAGCACCAGCACCTGTGGTTATCACTTACACTCAGGTTGCTTCACACATCATAGTGCCACTGTCCTCAGACTTTCTACCATGATGCCCTACAGCCACAATATGATATTTTAATCAATTATTAAAGCTTCCTACGACTGTGATCATAGCTGGAGTGCACATAAATTGCACACCACCACATAGTTCATGCCAAAAGAACAAATAAAATCTATTTTAAAAGCTCTATTCATCATTCAATGATGCCTACCTAACAAACAAAATGTACCTGTGTAATTTCAAATAGTTTTAAACCATAAGATTTTAACAGTTTTATGAACAAAACGCTATTGATGGAATCTGAGAGGCTTTCATCTCTTCAGTTGTTTAGATTGTAAAATGGCTGAGCAGGGAGAGAAATTCTACTTCAGGAAAGGATCAGGTATCAGGAAATACAAGCACTTTGCTGAACAGTGCTTTTACAAATATTCTGAACTTAAATATCTTTTTTCATTTTATCATTATCATATTCAGAAATCATTTCAAATATTCATAGAAACCATGTAAGATGCCACAATCATTAGGCTGAGATTCTTCAATTACTTTACATCAGAATTCTGTCACTCTTCTCAAAAATGAAGACATTTGAGGCCAGAATTTATTCTGAGATGCAATTTTGTACATATCAGGCCCACATAATTATACAGCGATTATATATTTGAATGTACGTTTCTGCCTTGCATTCTTAATACAGTTAATTACATTGGAAAAAAAATCAATGTTATTTCTACTTATTTTAAAGCACATTTTTCCTATCGCATTTCAACATAAAAATTTAAGTAAGTTGCAAGGATACTCTCTTTTCCAGAGAGAAGAACTCCATATGAAAAAGTTCACCAATAACCAGTCGACATTTTAACCATATTAGCAAGTAACTATATTTGAGTGCTGGATCTGAAAATGCTAAACCATGACAAGCAGGGAAAATCTCTCATATGGTGTATTAGGCAATATGAAAATATTAGGAAAAATGAAGTTCGTGTTACTAAAATCTCCTGAACTTCAGGAAGTCCATTATATCCTTTGTTCACTTAATCAGCTTATTTAATTTTGCCTTTGGGAGCCAAATTGTATTAAATTAAAATGGCCACAAGAACTGAGAATTAAAAAGCTGTTAGACTACATTTTGTACAAAATCAATGCCCACAACCTACATTCTACTTCTTTCTTACATTCTTCTTCTTGATATAAATTATCTGTTTATCTATTTGGCATCAGAAACATCACACCAGCTGTAATATAAAACTTGAGGAAAACTGCAGTGTTTTAAAAATAATGCTTTTCACAACCTTCACACTTCCTACTTGCAAAGTCCTGGAGAGTCCTACAGAGTAAACTAGAGTTTAGGATGATTTATTCCGACTTATGATAATCCAGATCATTCTTTTGCTACAATAAAAGAAGGATGAAAAAAATTTCCAGAAGAATCACTTAGGACTATTCCACCCATATTATCTGTGCCGATGTGTGTTTCTGTGTCTGCCACCTTTACTGTAACACAATACAATCCTGCTCTGCTGCTGTGGTCCATCCACAGTGATCTGTCCCAAACTGGGAAATTCTCTTTATCTTCACAGTGACTCTGGTCACCATGAACTTAGTTTTCTGCAGAGGCAACATAAATCTCAAACTAGCATTTCTTCTATAAAATTTTGGTGAGAAATGGAAGGAAAATTTATCCACATGTTCCAGTACCAACATGTAGCCTGATGAGTGCCTGAGGAACAAGGAGTACTGGGCAGAGAGGGTGAACAGCGAGAGGGCTGCACGAACACAGGACTACAGTCACTGGTAACTGGCAGTGGAATTCCCAACAGGATCTGGAGAACAAAAATCTTCACTATGAGAGTGGTTAAGAATTGGAACAAGAGCCCTCAGAGGCTGTGGGATCTCTGTCCTATAAAATTTTCTATAGTCTCGTGGATGAAGCCCTGAGCAACCTGATTCAACCACAAAGTTTGCCCTGCTTTGAGCAGGAGGCTGGTGCCTGGAGGTCCCTGCCAATCGAAATTATTCTATTATTCTCTGATTGTATTCTCCTACAGAACATGATACCTGGCTTGGAAACTGAGTTCATCTTCCTCCAAAAATTTTTCATCCATACATAGACCTGATGTGACCCTGAAAACCTTTAAGACAGTGGTTTCCAATCTTTATCAATCTGTGGACATGAAAGTATTTCCAGTGGTGTTCCAGATCTTGAGAGTAACTTTAAGCATCTTCAGAGGAAGTTTCTTTCATCTAATTAGTTTTCAAAGATTCTCTATTAGTAGGCCACAGATGCCTACGTGTCCATATGCCACACTGAAAACTCTTGTTTTGATGGTTCTAATGAGAACAATGTAGGATCAGACTCTATTTTGATTATTTTACAAAACCATCCTTTCTAAAGAAATAAATTTGCACTTAGCAGTCTGTGCTCTCTGCCTGTCTCTTTTTCTTTCCATCCATAGACTCCCCTTGCGTAAACAGCCTATAAACTAAAAAGTATCATATCCCATTTTTATGTAGGTGAATGCAGAGGTGTTTTCTCCCTTAAAACATTGTGAAATGGGAAAAATAAGCTATCTGGCATTTTAAGAAAGAAAAATTACACAAAAGTTTTATCCAAAAAGCTTATCTTTTCTTACAGAGCAGCTGTATTACACATTAACACAGAAAGCCATACGGAAAAATGTATGCATTCATGGAGAGCGTGAGACTCGGAAATCTCTTTCTGTCTCACTCTACTTCTCATATAAAAAAACAGAGGAACCATCTTAATTACCTGTTTCCATTTTCCCATCTTGTGCTGCAGGCCCATCAGGAATTACACTCTTCACCTGGAGAAACTCATCCGGCTCATCCCCACCAATGATGGTAAATCCAAAACCCATGTTGCTTTTCTTAAGAGTTGTGCTGAGGAAAGTCCCCTTCAGCTGTGATGCATCACGGGTGAAGAGTGGTTTTTCTACATCAGTCAACACAAACAAGAAAGACAAAAGTTCTGATCTAGTCACAGCACAGCAGGACAGCAAGCGACAATATTGGCTGACAGCAGGTGACAGTGTACAAAAATCAAGGAAATAAAGAGTGCAGGCATTCCAGGAAAAAAAATCTGTGAGCTCTTATATTAATACAAAGCTTAGTACATATTTCTGATCTATGGCAGATCAGCCATAAGTGGGGAGTTATAAATGTCCTTTCATATTAGAAATACATTTAGAAGTGGGTATTGTGTAGCTAAAATAATTACAACAATAAAAATGATCTGTGAGGTAATTTTAAAACCTCTTTCCTAACCTATAAATTCAACTTTGTCTACAAAGTAATACATTCTCTATAATTTCCCTCCCACCTGCATTAAGGAAAACATGCCCTGAATATCTTCTTCCAGTTGTTAACAAGCAGTGCCAAACATCAGGTGAGCTTTCTTTCCAAACAGGCAGGGTTCTGGCATCCAACAAGTGACACACTTAACTGATGTGCAACCTTCACGTCCCCTCTCCACGCGCCTGGGTGTGCAGGGTGGGGGGGGGGGTGGGGGCGCTCCCCGTGCCTCTCTTCTGTGCTCCGCTTGGTGAGGAAGGGTGGGAGGAAGGTGCAAAGGTTGTGACTTCGACTGTTCCCGCTACACCCGCACAGCACGGCTGGGCTGGCCGGCAGCGGAGGACATACCGTGCAGCCTGCGTGTCCCAGCGGGACTGCGCCGGCACTGGGACAGGTCATTTACGCTGCAGGACCTCTTGGGAGCGGGGCGCGCGCGGGCGAGTTTGGGTCTAGGTAAGGTTGATGAGGCGCTTTCTACTGTTACAAAGGAGAACAAGCCTCATTCTTGGGCTATAACCTCGTGTTAAAGTTTATTCATCTCTACCAATACTGTTTGCTGCTTGTACAGCTCATTTTAAGCACATTAATTTTTATGTTACCAAGAGGCTGTATTCTTGTAAACTCCTATAACACAGTGCTTGAGGCTTTCAACTTAATTGATGCTTGCTAGATGAGCTAGCTTAGAAACATACCAAACATCAATTAACGGTAATTTAGAGAAAGTACAATTAATTATTTCAATGTTGCCAACCTCGGGTGCTCAAGAGAGAGTCGTACATTCCCAAGAATAGAATTTATGATTTTATTTAGAAAATTACTTTGGGGCTCTCATTGTGCTGTTTCTCAGCCTTTGGGAAACACTAGGGTCAACTTTTCCATCTTTTCTCTGTGCCTCTGATGGTTAGAGTACTTCAGGTGGCTCATGAGTCCTGCAACTCTGGGAGCTCAGACATTTAGGGAAGAAAAATCGTAGACTCATAAAATGGTTTGGGTTGGAAGGGACCTTAGAGATCATTTAGTTCCAACGTACGTGCCATGGGCAGGGACACCTTCCACTAGATCAGGTTGCTAGGAGACAGGCGATAACATTGTGGGATTTGGCAACACTATTGTTTTAATCAGACTATGATAAAATTGTTGTCGCATAAACAGGAGAGCAGGATCTTTCATCTTAACTAAGATAGCTGACACGGTACTGTACCTCGGAAACCTTGGGCCTGCATAGGCTTTGTTCCAAGTTCTGCGTTGGGCATGTTATGCTGCTGTAGCTTCCTTTTTGCTTCTAGGACAGGGTTTTCAAATTGTGTTCTTCTATTTATGTGGCTGGAAAAAATTTGGTTTTGATTAAAAATTGGGTTCAGTTGGGGAAAATGATCATTTTCACAGTAGGATGCTGGATGGGACTTAGGTGTGTGCGGCTCGATAGCGAAACCGTTATGAAACCCCGATGGGCCTGAGCATGTCCCTTATACTCCACGCAATTTTGCCGCGGATGAGAAATGCACAATCTAGCTCATCGCGTAATGAACAGCACTGAGAAGTGTCCTATCATTTCAATATGCTGAACTCTCCTACAGGCAAATGCTTTTGATCTATGGGACTACATATTAAATAATAGCACTGCTGAAGCATGCTACAATGACAGTTTTTCCTATCTTTAGCACAAACATTGTCCTTTGCATGATTCAAAGGATCTGAACCAGTTTTGTGCATTATTATTGATTAGGGGTAATTGAAATTACTTAATCTCTTAAGGAAAAAGTAAAGTCTAGAAACAGGGTGCTTTTATGATCACAGCTTAGACATAAATCTAACATGGGAAGTAAACAAGATTTCTTTTTAATCCTCTGATATATATCTGCTCAGCTGTAAAGAAAAATGGGATATTGCAAAAACTATGTCAGATGGTAGATGAGAACTACATAAATAAATATATGAAATATAAGAAAAGATAATATACACTTTTTTCTTGATGTTTTACATTTCCTATAACAGATTAGTAAGTACATTTCTGTCACTACACCACTAACTTTCTGTATCGTGTCTATAACTATCTTAACTACATACTCTCATCTTACCCTTGATTTTAATTCTTTAAATTAAAGCATTATCAATCAATGACTAATCCTACGATCCTCTCCTGTGATACGTTTTCCAAAGAAGGCAAAATAATGTAGTATGCGGCATTGAACAACTCCACAGGATGGGATCATGACAGGATCACAACTGAGAAAAGCGGTTTTGTGCTACAAATGTTCTACGGAAATAAATACATATGTACAGAAGGATAGGTTTTCAAACATGTCATTCCTTATTTGTTCTCACTGAGCTAGTATATAGTGATTTCTTCCCCAAATCCAATCCTAATTATGGGCTTTAAGCAGTTGGAGAGGTGATCTGGGAACTTTCGAAATTCTGAGATCCTAAAAAAGGTTGAGTATCTTTAGTTTACATTGAAACGACCTTTTATGCCACATTAAGCACTTTTCAGGTCTCTTGGGATTCAGATCCCATCACTGCTTCAAAGAAGGTAAGTGGAAATGCCATTAAGAACTGAGTGAGGTAGAGGGAAGGCAGCAAGTCCTATGGGAGTGCAATATACTTGGAAAATCAGGATTAGGGGTCAGAGCTAATGCAATTAAAAGATTTCCAGTCAGTAAAAGAATATTTGATTTAATGAGAGGAAGTAAATGTGGTAAATCCTGGAGTTGCTACTTTGCTAACATGGCAAAGTATTTTGCTAACATGTTATGTATTTCAATACTGTCAAGGATATACTACTTTTGCCATTACACAGGCGGTGAAGAAACATTACGTGAAATACTACATAAAGTTCTGATCACCTATGACCAAATAAAATGAATCCATAGAAAAGGTTTTATAGGAAGATCAGTGAAAGAGAGAGTCTTCTATGATAGAACACCAAAAGAGTTTTAGGTTTTTATTCAAGCAGAATTAATTCTGATATATAATTAAATTCAAAGAATACATTTGAAAGTAAATACTAACATGTATTAAAGATGTCAAGATTTCAGGCTTGAAATCTGTAGGCACTTCTTACAAGCAGAAGTGTGAAATTATGAAACAGCTTCCAATAGTAGATAGGGGGTAAAATACCCAGCTTGTTTTATGCTGGCATTTGATAAGGTTAAAAACAGGGTTGCTACACAGCAGATTGAGTTAATTGCTTCAACACAGGGACCGTGTCTTATTTTAGAGGCTCTAAAGTATCCTGCCCTGGCCTTCAGCTGCCCTTCCAGAAAAGCATGGGTTTCCCATAGCTTTTGTGCCATATAATGCAGATGTAATGAATATCCAAGATCACAACACAGATCATAGAATCATAGAATCATAGAATGGTTAGGGCTGGAAGGGACCTTCAAAGGTCATCTAGTCCAACCCCCCTGCAAGGAACAGGGATATCTCCAACTAGATCAGGTTGCTCAGGGCCTTGTCCAACCTGGCCTTGAACGTCTCCAGGGATGGAGCATCCACCACCTCTCTGGGCAACCTGTTCCAGTGTTCTACCACTCTCATGGTAAAAAATTTTTTCCTAATATCCAACCTGAACCTACCTCCCTCTATTTTAAAACCATTACCCCTTGTCCTATCATAACTGGCCCTCCTGATCTCCATTTAGGACCTTGAACTATGCTTAGTGTCATGTTGTAATTGCAGGACACATCTCAGTGCTGCAGGAGGCCTCTTGCAGATCTAAGTTACAACTTATATGTGGTTCTGTGATATAAAAAAAAAGATGGGCTTTTAGCTAATATGGGATATATCCATGGCTCAAGGAACATCAGTTCCTGTGGTACTGACATCACAGCTAGAATCTGTTATCCATGGCTTCTCTGAAGTTTCTAGGTAGAGTTAAAGTCGTGGTTTAGTCCATTTACACAGAAATGTTGTCAGGAAAGGCTGTCTTGAAAGCGACTTATTTTGTCCTAGCAGATCAGACAGGAAGACTAGCAGAAGTACTTGAAGCACCTCAAGGTGTTGGTGCAATCTTAATAATTAAGCTCTAATTTATTCCCATATTTTGACTGTTTTATGGTATTGTGCATTCTCCAAAGCACAATGTTAGAATTCCAACAAATTCAAACAACTGCACTAAATATTATGTCCAAGAAGAGTCAAAGAAAATAAAACTATACTGATAATCAGTTGTTTTCATCAGTCAGTAACACTGGATTTATGCACCTAGACTGATGAGACATGACACATCTCCCTTTCACAGAATTTTAAATGCTACACAGCTTCACGGCTAAATCAAAAAAATTGCTATTCATGAGTTTACCTGAGAAATAAGTTATTAAGCTAAATAGTTCCCTTGAAAGGACATTCTAGCCTTTCATCTAGCTACTTCAACTGCATACAAAATAGATATTACTAACCTAGGCCTTAATAAGACAAGCCAAACGGGAGTTTTAGAGATGGTTACAAATAAGTGGTTTTGTGGTTAAAATAGATTTTGGATATGATCCAAAAATGTATTGCTCATTGCTCTTAGTATCTAATTCAGTGAGGATTTCTATCTTTACTTCTCTTCCTTTATTTTATATAATGCATATTAAATACAAAAGCCTAACCCAAAGACAAGAATCCAGCTTATTTCTCCTAGTGTCATTGTGGCCGTGCAGCAGAATCATGCTGCCTTTTGTTTGCTTTCTAGTTCTAGGAACCTTGAATTTCCCTCTGCAGAGAAGAAGGATCAGTTGCTGCTGCTGTCCCCTTTCAGCTCACCATCTGCTAACTGGAGACAACCCCTCAGAGGCAGAATTTGGTTTGGGGCTGCATTTACCTGTGAAGTTGAAATGCTCTTTCTGTGTCATATGTAAGTACTGTTACCACCAGCCATACTGTAAGACACGGGCACCATTCTGCTATCTCATCAGTGAAGGTGGCCAGGCTAAGTTGTTTTCATGATAGATGTGCTTAAGACAACTGAAACACATTATTAAGAGATTTATGGGCAGTAATAACTAGTATGTAGATTTTAGTTGATGGCCAAGATACTAAGCCCTACCAAAATGGGAGCACACCTAAGCATGTGCATCAGCTGGAGAAATTTAACTTATCTCCTTTTCTTAGCTACTTTAATGTGTGTTTGTGACTCCAATCTTTGAAACCCTTGCCTATAACACACCAAAGTAATTCTGAGGATTGCAATGCCTAAAAGATGGACATTGTGATACATAATTTTTTAGTGCCTAACTCCTCTTTACATTCATATTTTTCAGTTACTAATACTTTATAATGACAAAAAGACCTTAAGATTTTCTATTTGAGTAGTAACAAAGTACTCTCAGAAGTTGTAAGTCAAGGAGGTATATTTTTCTAGAATAAATACCTATATGGCTAATTTAGCTGTTCTATTAAGGAGACCATGTCTGGAAATTGAGCTCTGTGTTGTAGTTAATCATCCTTAAAGGGGGAAATAATCTTTTGGCAATTAGAATGCTGAAAGACACAGCACACTCTAACAACCACATTCTCTCCATAGCCCTGCACAGCTAAGTGCTGCTAGTTCTTAGTTTATAAATTAAAAGAAAATTGCATGAAAGTTAACCCACGTATAGCAAACACTTCTCATTTATGTCAAATGTCTACACTTTACAAATGAAACCTGGACCTGCATAACAAGACAAATGAAAATTTTAATAATGTCTCACACCTACATTCATGCATGATTAAGAGAGGAAGTTACACTGGAGACCTTATTTTTTAACAGAATTTGCAAATATGTTGCGGTTAGTCTTTATTAACTTTACGAGCAAGACCTTTGAGGTTTTTCTTTGTTTCTTTTTTAGTTTTTCCTCTCATCTCAGAATACTGGAGCTGAGAATGGCTGGCCCTTGTACGGTGAACCTGAACCTGAACCTGTCTGCCTTCTTGCTCATCGTTACAAACTTCCCATGGGATACAAATATTTCAGTGAGCAGAACACAAGCCCTTCTTTCACTGACAGTTTTTAAAGACCTATGTATAATGTTGGACTTTGGATTGGGCTTGATTGTACGAAAGTTCATAACCTGACTTCTCATGATTTTATGACATAATTAAGAGAGCCTATTGTAATCTGATTTTATCTAGTTAAAAATGAACTCATTTGTTGAATACTGGTAATAAAAAAGGTGTGACTGACACTTTTTAGCATGAAAAATGGAAAGCAATCTTTGTTTCAAACTTACTGAGCTCAGACAGCAAATTAAAGTGCAGCTACATTTTACTGACTATAAAACTCCTCATGAACTTAGTGCGGCTGCAATTTTAATGCCATCCTGTGAACATCCATTCCACTTCTAAAAACCTCTGAGCCTGCAGTAGATTTGATATATCTTTCCACAAATCTTATCTGTGGTAGGATTAACAAATTTGGCACTAACAGCCTTATAATATGTAATTGCATAATAACATCTGGGACTTGTGCCTTGCGTCTGTTTACCTGTGGATGGACATGAAATGGGGATAAATACTTGTTTCTTTCCTGACTCTGCAGTGAAGTGTAAGCCTCACCGGTGCCAGAATGCCTCGGGCTGCGCTAACAACAAAGCGGGGTCTCAGCGAGAGATTAACGCACAGAAATTGCACAACACCTGTTACTCACCGAAATACACGAAAAACCACTGGGGCAGAAGACTCTTACTCACACCCAGCAGCTGCATAATTGCGCGTGCAGAAACCTTCAGGGGAGGTTAAGTACAAAGAGATACGTGATCTCTAGCCCCTAGCTACTTGGGGGCATCATAAAAGAACTCAGGCGTAACGAGAGAGGGTAATTTAATGGCATTACGTAGCAACTTCAGAAACTTGCTCATCTTTTTGCTTGAAACTGGACCGACTAAGCTGATTTGAGCTGAGCAGTAAAGCAGATGAGCAGCTCAGTTCCCTCTCAGCTGAGCGCAGGGAACAAGCCAGGGACAAAGCAGCAGAGCAGGTGCTACTGCATTTGGAGAATGGGAGAGAAGGAGTCAGCAGGGCAGTGGCCAAACACTGTCTTAACCTGTTTGCTTTGTAGGAGGGCTAGGGAAGGTGCACGGGCATCCACAAGCTGCTGCTGTTATAGCAGTAAAGAAAGGGGCATCTTGCATCTTCTAACCCTGCAGAAATCAGATCCTTTTTTGATCTCCCTGTCCAGCTCTACCCTGTGCATGTTAATAGCAGGATATTCTGAGGTCTGGAAAAGCTGCAGCCTCAGTATCTGTTCAGGGTCATGCTGCAGCCAACATGTTGGTATGGATTCGAGGGACCGTAGAATCATAGAATGGTTTGGGCTGGAAGGGACCTTAGAGATCATCTAGTTCCAAACCCCTGCCATGGGCAGGGACACCTTCCACTAGATGAGGTTGCTCAAAGCCTCATCCAACCTGGCCTTGAACACTTCCAGGGATGGGGCATCCACAAGGGAATACCATGACATACAAAGTAAAATTTTCTATTTTGTATGAAACAACTAGAATAAATGTACTGCTTAAGTGCCAGGATTTGAAATTGAGATTTTAGGTCAGGGGCCATTTTCTAAAGATCTCTCTTCTTTAATAAAAGGATAGATCTTTCTCAGCCTTTCAAAGCGCTGTCTGTGCAGTGATGAGGAGTGACTTTCTGCCTCCTCTGTTATATACTTTTCATAGACAGCAGAGTGAGAAGCGACCACTCTGAATGGGTATCACAATTTTGAATCTAGATTCACTTTGCATAAGTCTCTTTCACTGTGTTAAGCTAAAAGCAGAAAAAAATCACCTCCCTGATGTACTTATTTTATGTAGGAACTGGCCAGAACAGGTTCTACCTAGTACTTCAAACAAATCTTTCTGTTGCCCTTTGCACAGAGGAGTAAACATCTTTTTTTTTTTCTTGTTTCATGACTAAAATAAAATGTGAAAAAAATGAAAGCAAGGATTGTGCTGTGAAAATAGAAATTTATATTCTCTTATTTTCAGCTGCACTTTTAAGTACAAAATAAAACACAACATCTCTAAAATTTTATATGCAGCGTATAAATAACTTGCCTGCTGGTACAAACAGTGTGAACATCTGATTTGCAGCAAGGAAAGACTACCCAAAAAAGGATTTTAACTGAGCTAAAATGATTATGCTTTGCACTATTCATTGATTAACAAGCTCTCTACCTCACTGGATATCCAAACCTTACCTAGAAAAACCAACATTTCTTTAATGGATATGATCTTTGTGCAAGTATCATCTGGAATGATACCATGAAATCAGACCCTGGAGAAACAGCATGACTGAATGCCTGACTCACTGATTTGAGACACAGTGAATATATTGGGACACATTAGCTGTATCAATGACTGACAATTCCTGGTATACCTTCAGTTTAACATGTCAAGTAATCATATCCATGCCTTGCCAGGCTAAGCACTGCAGAGGATACTAGTATTAGGTTATGACATATTAACAACAACTTAATATTGAACTTGGGAACTTACTCAACATAATAAGTGCCATAAATGGGATCATCAATTTTCTCCCAGCCATATGGAAGCTCTGAAAAACAAAGAGTTATCTGTCTTAGTAAACGCAGTACAGAATGCTAAGATTTCCAGTAACAAAATTGTGAGTCTTTGCTGGGCGTTGAGGGAAATAACTTGATAGTGAAACTAGACGCCGTGACCAAAGCAAAAGCCAAATCTTCAACACATACCATGGCAGCCACAAGTAGCAGTAACTTGAAAATTGGCATGCAAACACAGATCTCAGTCTCTAGAACAACACATTTTAGTTGAACTACTTTATTGTTTCAACAGCTGTGCCAGCCACCAACTGTAGCACATCTTGTATGACATCTCCACTGGAGGAAGTGAGGGCATTCTGTTTTCCCAAATAGGTACACACAAAAAAAGTACTTTGCTTTTTTGATCTTTTTTTCTTTGCCAGGAATCCTGGAAAAGTTGACCTTGAAGGAACAAAAAGAGTTTGCCTTCTGCCATCTAAGTACAGTAAGTATACCTAAATGCTCCTGAGAAGTTTGTACTCTTTGTCTTACTGTGATGACAATTCAGTCATCACAGTATGATGCCTCCAAAGGCATCCTGTTCCAAAGCTTAGTTATATATCAGGGACATTGAGTACACAGTAGTACATGGAAGTACAAACCAAAATAAGATACTATAGCATCTTCTGGCCTTAAAATTAATTATATTTTGCGGAAATAGGATATTTAATTGTTAATACCTAAAATATTCAGGTATTAACAATTAAAATGTTACTGTTTCGATTTAATGATCTTGAAAATCAACGTGTGTTCATGTACAAGCAAATCCTCTCATATATATCCACGTAAATCCATAAATACATATTTCATTATCATGTACACTGAACACTTACAAAATTATTATACTGCCAACTAAACATCATCCTATGTTTAAAAGGCACCAGATGGATGTGACAAGTAACTCAGTTGGAACAGAGTAAAAATCTCAGTGCCAGATGTGATGACTTTGATGGAGGAGACTCACAAAAGGACGGACATTCCCATCATGCACAGGTATTGATTTCTATGCACTGTCGTGAGACCCCACCTGAAATACTGCATTCAGCTCTGGAGCCCCCAACACAAGAAGGACACGGAGCTGCTGGAGCAAGTCCAGAGGTGGGCCATGAAGATGATCTGAGGGCTGGAGGACCTCTCCTATGAAGACAGGCTGAGAGAGTTGGGGCTGTTCAGCCTGGAGAAGAGAAGATTCTATGGAGACCTTCTATCAGCCTTCTACTACCTAAAGGGGGCCTACAGGAAAGCTGGAGAGGGACTTTTTACAAGGATGTGTAGTGATAAGACAAGGGGTAATGACTTTAAACTGAAAGAGGGGGGATTTAGATTAGATATAAGGAAGAAATTTTTCACTCTGAGGGTGGTGAAGCACTGGAACAGGTTGCCCAGAGAAGTTGTGGATGCCCCATCCCTGGAGGTGTTCAAGGCCAGGTTGGGTGAGGCTTTGGGCAACCTGGTGTAGTGGAGGGTTTTCCTGCCCATGGCAGGAGGATTGGAACTAGATGATCTTTGAGGTCCCTTCCAACCCTAACCATTCTGTGATTCTATGATCCTAAAGACTACGGCACAATAGATGGGGGGGAGTGGTACTGAGATTCTATAAGGAAATTTGATTCTGGAATTTCTTATCTCAGATTTTTTTCCTTTTCAAACTCAGTTGAACTTTTAAAGTAACTTTTTGGAGACAATAAGAGTACCGAACTAGACAGAGCAGAACTGGTGTAGCTTGTACTGAAAACAGTCATTAAACTGGCCATAACGAAGAACTCCTAGATGATTTGAGCCCTTTTTTTTTTTTTTTTTCCCAGTGACAACGTCAATAGACAATTATTGGTGTGCTGTAAAAGGCAAACAGGAAAGTAAAGCCTGACTGGCAATAGAGAGATCAAAGAGTTAAAAAACAATGTTAAGAAATTGCTTCACCTATGCTTTTTACTTCTCCTTCAAACGCATCTGTAATATTCTTCCTTGAGTGAAATTGCTTAGACTGCTGTAGTCTTCATGTCACATTGCCCTCAGAGGATGTTCCTGATCAGCCCTTTCCAATGCTGCAATAAAGGATACAACCCTCTGCCAAAGACTGGCAGATGAGGAACTCCACAAATTTGTAATGAAAGCTCAAGGGTTTCCTTAATGTTGGTACTCAATTTTTCCTGTCATTCTTAGTATATCGTTAGCTTTGAAATCTTCACAAGTCCGCACTCTGAACTGCTTTTGTCAGGGCTATTTTGTTATTGTCACTTCATAGGAGTAAATGCAGCATAAGGTATATAATCAGGCCACAGAATCACGGAATGGTTGAAGTTGGAAGAGGCCTCTGGAGATAGCCTAGCTCAACCCCTCTGCTCAAAGCAGAGGTGCCTAGATCAGGTTGCTCAGGATTATCTCCAGTCAGCTTTGAATATCTCCAAGGATGGAGACTACACAACTCCTCTGGGCAACCTCTTCCAGCGTTTGATCACACACAGAGTGAGGAAGTTTCTGCTTTTGTTTAAGCAGAATTTCCTGTATTTCAGTTTGTACCCTTTGCCTCTCATCCTGTCACTGAGCACCACTGACAAGAGCCTGGTTCCATATGCCTTTCACCCTCCTTCAGGTATTAATTTAGGTTGATAAAATCCCTCTGAGCCTTGTCTTCTCCAGGTCAAACAGTCCCAGCTCTCTCAGCTTTTCCTTATAGGAGAGATGCTCCAGTCCCTTAATCATCTTAGTGGCCCTTCACTGGACTCTCTCTTGTATGTTCGTGTCTCTCTTGTACTGGAGAGCCCAGAACTGGACCCAGAACTCCAGCTGTGCCTCACCAGTGCTGAGCAGAGGAGAAGGATCATCTCCCTTGATCTGCTGGCAATGTACTGCCAACTGCAGCCCAGGAGGCTGCTTGGCTGCTTTGTTGCAAGGGCTTGTCACTGGCTTATCGTCAAGTCACCAAGCATTAGATAGCCCTGGTGTTGCTCTCTCCAGACCTGCCCAGAACTTCAGTAAAATCTGTAGGAGATTTACCTTACAATGGTTACCACAAAGACCTGTATATTCTAAGACTGTGGAATGCAATCCATAAATATTAAAAAAGAAGGAAGCTGATGCACAAATCCTGTACAGCCCATACAATAAGTTTTCTTCCCAATGCATGCATGATAAATAAGGCAATAATTTGCTATGAAAAACCAATATTTTTACCTAACCCTATGACACAGAGTAAGTATAAAGTATTACTTGAAATACTATCGGTACATTTTACTTTCATGTAACCTTGCAAGGTTTTCTTCACCTAATTAACTTCATGTTGCTTTCATATCTGGCCATCTAATATTACACTCCCTTAGAGAAAAGTGAAGCAGGTACTAGTAAAATCTGTACATACTTAAAAATACACATAAACATGCACACACACACACAAAAAGTGTGACTAGGTCCCTTTCCCAAAGTGTATATAGTAGATGGAGTTTTTTCCACTTATGAAATTGGAAAAAACAGTAGATGTTTTGCCCAAATTTAAAGGTAGATATCTTTCTGTAAATATATACACTTTAAAATATGTAGATGTAGAAGACATATTTTATTTTACATATTTATGAAAATCTGAAATTATTTGAGGATTTACTATTAACCTATTGGCCTATTTTTTCCTGAAGTAATGATGCATAACTGTATTTATGAACTGGCACAACTATTTAGACGGCAAATGGCAAATCTCATTTTCTAGTGTAAAAGTCTGTAAAAATTCAATGAATTAGACATATTATGGAGAATCCACTTTTAAATGCATGAATTGAATCACTGATTATCTAACATCATAAAATAGTCATGGGTTCAGAAAAAAAGGAAATAAAAAATTGCCTTCATATACCATAATAGATATAAACTCCATGTAAGGCTACATTCAAATTTCATTTTTCCATTTGGGACACAGCTTGTAAGCTATGTTTAATTAAAATTCTGTGTTGACCAGTAAAATGGAATTGCTAGAGCACAAACCCCAAGCCCCCTGCCCGCCCTCCCGAAGCATGGCAGATAAGGCTAGTGGAGTGTAGTTTACTACACAGTTTCTGTTAGAAGAATCTTCTGCTACATTTGCTTTCAGGAGCACTGTGATTGTTTTTCACCACATTAAATAGTGGCATCTATTCCATTTTTCACTATTGAAAGGAAAGATTACAGGACAGAAATACTTTAGTGCTTCCTAAAATAGGAATGTAAACATTTGCCATATTAGGGGTGAGGGCATTACAGTTTCTCTTTTTCATTTCATAGTGCCTGGTGATAATCATTAGGGATGAGAGTGAACAGTAAACATTTATAAAAGAGAATTGTTATACAACGTTTGTGAAGGAGATTACTGTTGGCCACCATGATTTGAATTGGGAAGGGAGCTATAAATTATAGCAATCTCTGATATTCATTTGGTAGCACTAGCATGCTAGTTCATGTATAATTTCTGCAACCAACGGTTTCATGGTTACTATGCTATATATGAAGTCTTCATTTTCATGAGCTCAACACTTCTATCATCCATGTCTTTCAATTTGATTGACTCCGGGAGGATTTCTCTGTGTAGAGGAAAAAAACCAAAACTACTCTTCATTTTTAATCTTCAGTATCTGACATTCCCACAGATCTCATACCATCCAGTGGAGCGTGGGTTCAGGAATACTTGTAAAATCACCATTTGAAAATCAATAATAGTTTGTGCAGCATTTCGCAATGCTGATACCATGAGTGGGTGGTAAGGTGCTGGATAATCTGTATAGTATGTATATATGCTCCAGTTTTCACATTTTATGCTTTATTCCTTACCAGAGAAGCAGCATGTAGCTAACACTGCAGCAGTAATCCAAAAAAAAAAAAAAAAAGATCAAGAAGGCACAGCTGATACTTGGGCACTTTGCTCAGTAGGCAGCTGAGCATGCTTTTAAACACAGAAGGAGCTGCATTTCTAAAACTTAAATGCCCAACGGTAACAAAGGCCCTTGTGTTTTCAAAAAAAAAAAGAAAGAAG